CTCATATTATTCCCATACGTAAGTCGATTCTTGCTAAATGTATGATTGCAAGCGAAAATTGCATTGCAATGTTTAAGATTCATATTCATTGAAGTTTTAAACCTGTTCTTCGTTGGATTACTGTTGTGCATTACCGATGGGCGATGCAATTTTCTCGACTCTCATAGGAATTGACTCTGTCTCTATTATTTGCCTTCGACATCCCCGTACGGAAAATCCCGTTTCATTCATATGCACGAGCATGGCATCCCTCGCCTTTTTATTTGCAAGCGATACATCCTACCATGTTTTCAGGGACTGCTGAACACATGAATTATTTGTCGACGTCTCTTCTGTTGGAGAATTACTCTCCATTATTTTCCAAACATAGGCTCTTTCGGCGAAACTTATCACGGCCTGCCATCGATCTACCTTTCTAAGTATCATATTTATGATAGCGCGGACATTAATATGTTTAACTTTAACTATTCTATAATACATAGCTGTCAGTCACTGAACTGACGAGAATTCGCATTGTAGAACTATCCTTTCAAGCAATTTTATTTTCTCGTATTTCACTGAGCCAAGGTTACATGAATCAAGTAATTAATTAAACATTATTTGAGGAACGCAAGACAAGATGTTCTGCTTATACACTATCTGCTTATAGCCATCTTCTGAATCTGTCCGTCATTGAAGTTATCAACTCTTTTCTTCTTCCTTATATCCCCATATAAATAGCCATCTACTTTATTACATTTTAATATACCTTTCTTTTATTTCATTCGCTTGGCTCTTTTCGTAAGTACATCAATCGGAAACTCATCTACAAATGCAACAAGTTGAGCATTCGTGTAATATATATATATATATATATATATATATATATATACGCCACTTTCAGCCAAACAGTAATATATTTTCTTACACTATGCATACATATTTGTACATTTAATCGGTCGGGGAAGATTTCGATTGATCGCAAATTGACACATAAATTTGAAACGAACTATCATTATTAAACTTAAATATCTGTTTGGCAGTTATTCGTTTACATTTATTAAATCCATTTAATTTGTAATGCTTTTGAAGTGATTTAAATAATTTAAACAATAATAATAGTAACAATAACAATAATACCCATAATAATATGAATAATAATAATAATAGTATTGACAAAAGGATAATGAAGCTTCAGTTTCCAAATTAAATTAAAATGTATATATACACGTATACGTAAAATATAGAATTTAATGTGTCTATATATATATATATATATATATATATATATATATATATATACATACATTACACACATGTGTGTGTGTGTGTGTGTGTGCGCGCGCGCGCGCGTGTGTCAGTATATTTACAAGATTATTTATTTTAAAAAAATTGAAAATGAATTATTCTAAAATAATTCAATATATAAAACAAATTATATTTAATGATTCAACTTTACATGTATATATTATATGTAATTCTATATTATATCATTATATATTATAGATTCAAAATACAGAAATTTGCGAATAATTAAGTTAATTCATAAAATCAATGTACAATATGTCTTTCTATTTTATATTTATGTGTGTATTCTAAGTTTATAATATAGTATTTTTCATAATAAAACAATAGTAGCTTTTTTTTTTTCAATAATAAATTATTAAATATTTTCTCTCCTCGATACATTCCATTACATAAAATTTTTAATCGTACATATATATTTATGGTTAATAATAGAATTTTCATTAATATTATGGTACCGTTTTTTGTATAACGAGTACCTTAAAATTTTTCATAAGCAGATTTTAATTAGTTATTCGTATAATAAGTACTAATTTTACATATTAATCATTATTATTTCAGATACTATTTTAGAAAATGATACCTTATACCAGAGAAATAATGAAAGAATTATACATATTCATTAATTACATTTGAATTAAAATGTTATCATTATAAATTATATTCGTTTTAGACAGAATAAATAAATCATTCAAATGGTAAAGTACAAGTTATGTTTTGTTGCATTTACAAAGTTTTTGTAAATTTGCATTTGCAATACACTATCACAGAGTATCGAATGATAATAAAAAAGTTTATAAAAATTTAGCTCATATCAAAATGAATTCCCGCATTATGACTTTTGATAATTTTTAATGGTCAAACTTTCTAATGAATACTCATAATATAATTGATTCTTGATTAATTAAAAACTTCTTTGTAAGATAATGAGTCATTTATGGCCGTATAATGTACTCGCCAAAATAATTTAATTAATTTCATTATCAACATTGTTAGAACGTATTTCTTTTAAAATGGCGTTATTTCACATAATTTTGTAGTTCTTAGTCGTGTATCAAGAGATGTGTCAAAACTTTTGTAATAAATTAAGATTCGGTTAAAGAGCGAAGAAGAAAGTTTAAAGCAAAAAATTCGTATAGAGCACGAGGGACTATTCTTGAGAAAAATATATATTTCCACGGGGACACCCAATTCTCATATCGTCCGTCCGTCAGGGTTCGTCGTTCCTTTCTTTCGTCACGAGAGCCATTGTCCTTCCGGATTAGCTCCTCTATCTTGCAGGACCATCATCTTTCCTCTTGCGCCGGCGAAGAAAGCGCAAATGCTAGTGTGAGAAGGGCGGGGAGAGCGAGGTAAAGGATTCACGTCAGTCACATTCGTGAGTCGGACGATGCATTATCCTTGTGAATGCTGGAATCGTTATACTACGTCGTGGAAGGAATTGGGGGAGGGGTATTGCTGTTCGTGCTTCTTGCGTTTATCCAACTGGTCAAGATCGATGGCATTTTCTCTTTCTAGGTTTTTGTTTGAACTTTTTTTTACTCTGAATCACGATTGTACATCGAGAATATCGAAAGGTTAGTGATGTTCTGAAATTTATGAAATATTTATCTTACATGTATATCTTGTATATCTATGCAAGATTTGTCATAAGTAATAGAAGTTTTGTTTTTATTTAATTATAAATAAATTTTAATCGATAGAAAATTTTACAATCTTTCTCATAACAATAGATAAAATAGGTAAATATTTAAAATATGATCTCAATTTCATGAATCTTTAAATACAAACTGACCTAATAAGTAAAAATAAAGTAAAATTAAATATAATATTAAACGATCTTCATTTACAAATAAAAATTTCCATTTCGCTATAAGTGCCTAATATATACGCACAATCAAGTCATTGATTAATTGTCAGCTGGTGTGAATAATTTTTTTATACAAGATAAAAATTGTTAACGATAGGATTATTAATTTTCAAAATACTATTTGAAATATCATTTTTAAGCAACATTAATAATGAAATAGCAAAATAATATACAAATAATATTTGGTCTTAATTTTTTTGTTAACAAAAGTTATTGACAGATTGAAGAATTTAATCATATATAAATCATTTAAACACTGAAAATAATCTAAAGTTAGTAGTAATTACTTGATGTTTGTATATAAGAAAATGATTGAAATATAAAAATTGTGTATATTGTCAAATTTGTTGTTAAAACACGATTGTATTGCAGCTGTTTCATTCTATGGAAAACCTTGTCCGTAAATTCACCAAGCATCAAGAAAAATCGAGACAAGTAATCGTCTCTGTTCTTTGCACAAAATGGTAGCTAATGGTATAGAAACGGTACATAGTTGATTAAACTGCGCTCACCATTTGTCATAACTGCGGAATAGAAAGGAAATTGAGAAAAGAGCGCAATAAATAAGAGCGCGAGAAACGAAACCAAGCTCCGGAGGATAAAAAGACGGTCATTGACAAGGACTCGATTTAGGACCGCGAAGAACACTTGACATGGAACAGACAAGTCGAAAGTGCGAAAATGTAACCTGAAGCCATTAGTTTCCTTTTCCAACTCCATAGTTTATGTCTATCGCTACGTACTCACTTCTCTTTTGTTCTTATTTGAAATAAATGTGATCTTACAGCTCAAAGTAAAGCGTGAATTTATCTCTTGATCCTCATTTATGATTGTCATATTTCGATATCATGGAATAACACGAGTAAGCATTTAAAACTCTTTTAGAAAAATTCAGATAAATAATCATCTGTAAAAGAGTAACTTTTTACGAAGAATATAATATATTTAGTGCTTCGTGTCTTTAAACTCTAGCTACGGTGAAATATATTTTCAGCCATCATAATAAAGAAATAAATAGTCAACGTATTATAATTATAATTAGCGGAGTAATTAGTTGTAAATTTAAATAATATTTTGTCACGACTTTATTATTTAATTTTATTATTTAAATATATGCTCGAATGGAGCTATTAATGTTATTTTGTTCATTTTTACTTCATTTTTTCGTATTTTTAATTATGAGAATTTAAGTATTTTGAATTTATAAAAAAATTGTAAATTACGAACATAATAATTTAATAATCAATAAACGCGTATATTTTTATATCTGGTCATTAAACAATTTTACTTTTACAACGATTTTATATTTGCAATATTTATATTTAAAAATTTGATTATAAATAATAGACAATAAGAAATTTAGCTTCCGTTATTATTTGTTAAAGAAACTTTAAAGCGATAAAAATTACCATTCAATTATTAATATTTGTTCTGTAAATTAGTCATTTAATTATTTGCCCACAGCTATATATTTTAATTTACAAATTTATTTCATTATTCTTTTGAACCTAATAATATAGTCGAATGTTTAAGATCGTTTCATTAAAAATCTATTGCTAGTATTATTAATTTATTAAATTTGACAATAATATTATGATAAATATTAAATCCGTATTTTTATACGTAATTTATGAAAAAATATAATTCAAATGACCAACTTCAGGTAAAATAAAATAAAAGCCATATTAGTTATAGGTGTATCTAACTTCATTCGATAATCAAATAACCAATTAAATAAGTCTAATTTAGACTCTGTTAAATTAATTATGTTTACTGAATCTTAGTCTTTTTAATTTGAGAAAAAATTAAAATAAAATTAAAATAATGTTACATAAATGGTCGAGAAAAAAAGTATAATTTGAGACAATTTGTACATTATTGGTAAATGTATTTTTAGAATGAAGATATAAGATCTAGTAAGGATGGCACATAATGGCAAATCAGATTGTCCACCTGTCGATCCTCGGCCACCTTACGACGAGGTCAATCATCAAGTAGGTTCGATTAATCTGTCGATTAAGGTTCCTAAAAATGTTGGTCGATTAATAAATGTGGATGCTCCCAATGCCAAAGGTATATGAATTATATAATAAGAGTACTGTATAATAAAGATAAAGTCAACTTGATGAGTTTGTTTTTGTTTATATTTTTTATCAATTTATACGTTGAAATGATTTCATTTTTAAAAATTAAAATAATTTTCGATACCAAAACTTACTTACATTACTTCTTGTATAAGATTTATAATTTTTTATAAATTAACTATTCTTACAGTCGAGCTATGTATATCTTCATATATATAACTAATATTATGCTCATAAGAAATATTAATTTCATTATAATTGTATTGCTTATCTACTTTATCATGTTTTATACTAATTTAAATATAATTGCAGAATTTGACAAAACTTTTTCAATTATGATTATTAGTAATAAAATATACACGTATTTTTTTTTTTTTTACTTTCACTTATTTATATATAATTTTATATATAATTTTTATATAAACTTATATATAATTTTATTTTCATTATATTACATTATACATTACATTATATATCTTATTTTACGTACAATTGCGCGTATGTATGAGCAAAAGGCAAGTGTAAATATGTGTACAATATGCAAGCACGCATACACGCAACAGTGATTATTCGCAAAATGAATGTTCGTGCGAAAATAATTAATTGTTAATAATATAAAATAGTGATATTTCTGTTTTTCATATTATTCACGAATAAATGAAAATAATTTTGGTTTAACAAGTGATTTTTTTAACTATATTATAAAATAATTGTTAAAAAATATTAATTTTTTTTATACTTTGATAAATAATGCAGAGATATAGACATTTAAATAAATTTAATTGAAAATTATATTTAATAAATTGTTTATATTATCTAAAAGATTATTTACCCTGATAGAAGCTTCTATGATAATTGAAATAAATGAAAAAGTTGCCTTTTGCTTTATATCTTTTGCAACTTGCATATATAATTAGAAACTTTGCAAGATAAAGTTAATACGAGTTTATTGATTCAAGAAGCTTATTATATTTTTCAATTTAATGTACAATTAATTCATAGATTTTGTATTGAGACGTCAGTAGATCACAATTTATTTTTTGAAATTAGTTATGAAAAATTATATCATTCATTTTAAAAATTAATCGAGAAATTCACTTATTTGAGACTTTGTATTAGAAATAAATTAGGGTATAGTAATCGCTAATCGTCCCATCGCTTATTATTTAGTTATCAAATAAACGTAAAATTTTCTAAAAATGAAAAACCCAGACTGAGCTTATTGCTTGACAATTATTGACTTCGTTTAATGTTCGTAAATAAGTCTAAATGACTTTTTGTAAAATTCCAATTTAGATACAAAGCAATAAAAAGCAACGATTGTTTATTAAAAAGTTCACGAGGTCGGAGGCCTAAGCGAAGTGACTTAAGCTTCGTATAAGAATCTAAGGAAGCTAAAGCTGCTTGCTGTTCGCCCTGTTCGACAAATGCGTTTATGCGCTTCCATTAACCAACAGATGACACTGCATGCGCCAAGGTGAACGTGATCCAGAATAAAATGCCGCCGGCAAAAAGCCCGGAACAGGAGATACTTTTGCTGCACGCTACCCGTTATATTATGAACGTCGAGGAAATGCAGAACACCTTAGAGCTTGAATTGAAGATGCCGCGGAATTATGAGCCGTACCCAGAGCCGCCGCCGTTTAAAATCCTCTTTCAGGATAATGAAAATGAGAAGGAGGATAGTGTGAAGGACGAGCCCGAAGAGAGCCCGAAGAATCAGAACGATAGTGAATTTAAATCCAAATCTAACTGTTGTGCGAACAAAAAGAATAAATAAATCATTGGCCAGCGACATTCTTTTAATTTAGAGAAATCTTTTTTTGAAATAGAAATTTTATATTTCCTACATTGTCGACAAAATTCAATTATAAATTATTATATCATAAAAAAAATGTTTGAATATATCAATTAAACGTACTTATATTTCCATTTAATGAAATATCTAATGTTTGTATTGAAATTACTTGGAGTAATCTGTGGTTATTATAACTCATTTAATGCTTTAGTATTTCTAGAAACTTTTTTGATTTGTTACTGCAGAATTTTTAATAATTAACGTGTTTGAGCAGCACGAATTTTCTTGCACGCAAGAAAGAAAAAATTGGATAAAATGGAAGAGGTAAGATAGGAATTCGTTATCATATTCCATATTTCAAGAATACAGGTCGAACATTATGAATACATTTGATTAAGTTGATGGATCAATCGAAATTTTTGGATCAACTTTAACAAAAATTTTCAAGATCTCGATTGTGCAAAGAAGAAATAAAATTAATTTTTTTTTTTTTTTTTTGTTCTTCCAGTGCCGTTCTTTATGTTCGATCTTATTGAGATTTCATATTTATCGTTATGTTTTGATGTTTACCTTTAATTTATTAATATGAATTCTTCTAGATTTAACTTGGTTTATAAACCTAATTCAGCACTATCGGATTAATTAATTTTTTAATATACAAGTACTAAGTGTAATCATTTTGGAATATTTATGATTATTAATCCTACTAATTTATAGAATAATTATTCGTAATTCGTGAATTATCGATTTTCTCTACTGGCTCATTTCAGATTAGCTACAAATTTAATATAAATATAAATATAACTGAAAAAATAATAATCATTTTTAAATTAATAACAATAAATTTATTTATCATATATTTCATCATTATTGAAATTCAATATCATAACTTTCTAATTCATCGGTCGCGAAAGTCTTTAATATATCTACAGTTTTTTTTTTTTTTTTTTTTTTTTTTTTTTTTTTTTTGATTCTAACATACCGTCTACTTTTACGAGATAGAGCAATTTTCATAGAATCTAATATTCGGAAATATAACCATTAAAGACTTTTGCGATCCCTGAATACGAATTTAACCTCATATTTTAAAAATTTTAAATTTAAAGTGCTAGTGGTCTCGAAGATCCAAAAAGGTACACTGTCTATTTTGAATTTTTATGAACATATCATTAAGCATTCGGCATTTTAATTTTCGGATGTTCAATTTTTCTTTACACTTTATCTCTTAATAATAAAAATTGAGTGTTTATTTTTAAAAACTATTTTAATTTAAATTTAATTTTGAATTTAATCTCTTGTTTATTTTATTTTCCTGAAACATTTTCTAAAACATTAAATATGTTATTAAATATGCGATTATTGTAATTTTTTTACTTACCTAATTTTTTCTCTAATTTTTAACCATGAAATAAAATTGTTGTTACAATAATGTAATACTGTTGTTTGAACTTAAATTTCCTTTAATTTTTGACACACCTGTACACTGTATTGAATTCATTAATAAATATTGATAAAATTAATCATTATAAAATATCTAATTTATTAAATAGCACATTAAGAAACAATGAACTGTAGCATATTAATATACTTAATAATTTTTTCTTTTAAATCTGTTTATTATAAAAAGATTAAATTTGAAATGATCTATTCATCATTCATTTTTAATAAATCTTAACAATTATTCCTTTACTTTTTTTAAATATGTAGCGTATATGCGTGTATTACTGTATGTATATCCATACGAATTTCAATTAAAATAATATTTGTTTGATTATTTATAAGAAAATGTATATTCTAAAATTGTATTCCATAATTAACAGAATACGCATAATAAATATGGAATAAACATGGAAAGTATAGTAATTTAATATATAAATTTAATAAATAAATTTTGCCTGTTTTGAAAACTATATAATTAGTCTTATATTTTTCATCTTTATTGTAGTTTCATCATTTTCATTTTGATAAAACATCAATGTATTTTAAATAAAAAAATAACCATTTGATATTTTACGTATTTAAGTAAATAATTCATAAATAATGATGTAATGAGTTTTTATTTAAGTAGATATTTATACTATTATGTGAAGAATATGAAAAAAAAAAAAAAAAAAAAAAAGCAATGATATATCAGTATTATATAAATAAGCTTTCTTAATTATATTTTCTTATTTCTCGTAATTAATTTAATTTTCAAAAAATTTATTGGAAAGAAAATTTATTATTTAATATTTATCCGATTCCTTGTGGAAATATTTAAATACTAACTGTGATTTAAATGTACGTGTCACTGATGTCACTGAATATAGATCAGCATAAATTAATTGTTTGAAGAATGCGTATTTAAATCATCGTCGCTGATGAAACTGTTATATGGAAATACAAGAGATAATGTAGCTCATGGTATATAGTAATTTAATTTAATAGTAATTAACATAAATTAAGCGCTAAATATATAAGGATCATATATATTTTTATTCTTAAATTTATATTTATAAAAATCTAATTTATTTAATGAAAATCGATATGAAATCTTATATATCGCTCAATATTAAATATTACATTTATGTTATCTAAATTCATTACTATAATTTTATTTTTTCTAATTTTACCTTATCTATTCCATTAATAAATATATTAATGAATAGTAATATTTCGTGAACTATGTCACAAATTTACTATGTGGAAGCTATTGACGTGGAGAAAATTTTATTGAAATAAATTCATTAATAATGCATATTCCATACACCCATATGCATCAACAATATTTGAAGATCTTATATTATTGTAAATAGTATTGTATAAAATTAAGAAAAGTTAAATGACACAATCAATTATCAAAAAATATTTATTCCATTATTAAAATTAATATTAAAAAATGAAAAATGATACAACCTTAAAATAGAAGTACGTTAAGACAGATAGATTGAGAGAAAGAGATAGATTATGAAAGAGTGAGAGAGAGAGAGAGAGAGAGAGAGAGAGAGGGAGAGATTGTGAGTGAAAGAGAGTGAAAGGGAGATTTAGATAGTGAGAGGGAGGAATATATCGGAGAGTCATAATGTACGCATTGACTGTAAACTTGGCAATAGTTCAAGTTCTTGCGAGTATCGAGTGATTTACGATTTTGACCAAAATAAAGTGTTTGAGGTAATAAAGGTTGGAGCTTCAGAATCCTGTCGACAGAGTGAACCTTGAAAACTTGTATTGGAAGAAGTTTGCAAGGTAAACTATAGCCGATATATCGTTACGACTCTTGTAATCCTTAAATATTTTAATCTCATAATGTTAGGCTATAATCAAGGGTGATTTTATATACTTATTTTACATACTTGGATATGTGGAGAGATTTTACATTAAATTATAGCGATTTTACATACTCAGTTAATTAGAAAGCTTTACAAATAATAGAAATAGGGTCATTTAATTGATGATATTTGCTTTGTTTTATTTTTTGAATTATAATGAATTTGTATAGGAGCTTTTCTATTTATTGATGATCGCATCAACTGTTTTGGATCATTATTTTGTTATATGAAATATATCATTTCGCGAATGATCATATGTATGTTAGAAATAGTAATTATTTTATTTTTCACGTTGATCTTAAAATTTTTAAAACTATATTGTTTATGATCTTAGTTACTGAAAGTTTTCTTCTTAACTGAAAATTTTTTAATACCTAATTAAAATTATTTTTAAAACTTATAAAGCAATCTAGAAAAATTTTTGTTTTGAATTGTTTTATTATATTTTGGAAATGTTTTCAGCTTAAAGATGTTTATAGCAGTTATGAATAATATATGTCATATATGGATTTAACTATTCCTACGAAATCGACGCAATATATGTAAATATCTAAGAAGATATAATGCGCTTACGTTGATAAAAAACATTTATATATATATATATATATATATATATATATATATAATGACAATAATAATAACAATAAAAAAGACACCAACAATAATTGTAGCGGTAGTAGTGGTAGTGGAAAAAAAATGTGTTTCATGAATGATTTATAAATTGTAAAAGTAAGGGAAAAAAATCATTGTCAAAGAGTATACAACGTTAATTGCAATTCGTCATACAAGGGATGTAACACGTAATCTACAAGGTTTGCCGAGCGACAAAGGCGTGAGTGCCGATGTATCATAACGGCGAGAGATGGTATACGAAAATGGAGGGTGGAAAAGGATAAGGTAGTCGCTTTGCGGTGGCTGCTGCTAGATTGAAGGGTCAAAGTGATAAAGCGTCTCATTTGTCTCTGGGAAAGAGAAGTTCGCGAAGCTCCAAGTGCTTTCACCCTCTCCAATGTACCAATGTAAGAATGGAGCGGAACTGCTGTGAGAGATATGGAAGATTGTCAGATCAAGAGAAAGTCAGGAAAAGCATGTAAGAATGGGAAAATATTAGTTGGAGGAGGGAATGGATCGAGACTTGTAATAATTAATTTTTTCAGCTATCGAAAATACATGGTAAACGAAACAGCATAAATAATTTATTTTCGTTTCAATGAATGAACATTTCACGAAAACATTATTATTATATCATTTATTCCAAATTTTAGGAGTATAGATAAAATATGAAATAAATTGCAGTTTTTTATATGAAGTATTATATTACAATGTGATATTGTAATTGGATAATTATTTATTTTATGTACATTTTTAAACTGCAATAAAAGGTTATATTGCATAATAACAGATTATTCAATAAATAAAATAATTTTCCAAATAATATCATAATCTATTTATATAATGTATATAAACAAATTTTCAAAAATTATAAATTATATGATCAGGTATGTATAAAATCATATACGTATATATTAAAAGATTGGATTTTTATTTCATACATATTTTTGCCTGTTTTTAAAAACATTTTTAGAAAGATTAATATAAAAAAATTGCTCATTGAGGGCTCAATGTTTACTAGTGTATTTTTCTAAAACTTTTAAGAATTTTTTCATCAATGTT